TCAGGTCAGTAAAACACAATAAATGACCAATAAATGACCAACTATCAGGTCAGTAAAACACAATAAATGACCAATAAATGACCAACTATCAGGTCAGTAAAACACAATAAATGACCAATAAATGACCAACTATCAGGTCAGTAAAACACAATAAATGACCAACTGTCAGGTCAGTGAATGCTAATGAGTCCGTCAGAAGCCTTTTTGATTAGTTTCCTCTTTGTTTATCATGACAAGATTTCTTAGAAATAAAAAATAAGTTAGAAAATACAAAAGTTTAGACATATTTGATCAATTATTAACATGAAACTGATCAAACTAAATCAACACAGTGCTCTTTTCTGTTTTAGCATCTGAAGCTAATGTCAGCGTTTTGAACACTTCGATGCTCATTAACCCTTCAGGTCCCTTAAAATGAGTTAGTTAGCTTAAATTGAAATAAGATTTCAATTTATTTTCTTTCGCTGCATCAAATATTTTCAAAAACTAAACAAGTATGAAAAAAGTCATAGTACTTTTGATATTTTTGTATGTTTGTATTGTCTATATTCTAACACCATTTTTTTGAAAGAGGTAAAACAATATGCAATATTCTTGCTAAAATTAGTAAGAACTCTTATTCTAAACACCTTGCAATTAATCACTGCTTAATCATATCTTTTTATCTCAATAAACAACAAACTATTCATTTCCTCTTTAATACTGTTCCGATTGGCCTGGAATGAACTTTGATAGATAAGCTAAATATCCACCTGGGACTTTATCTTAGTATGAATACAAATATGCTGCCAAGCTCTGTCCACGAATAAAAAACTAAAGCAGATAATAAACTGATATCATATGGGACTGACTTATAAACCTAAACTAACCCGTCTCAGGCCGTTATATCCACAGACTGCTGGTTAAATCATCCTTCCCTAAAGTATGGCTACTAATTGCCATGGTTCTGCTCAGGGTTTCTGCCTGTTAAAAGGAAGTTTTTCCTTGCCTGTGTCGCCTAGTGCTTGCTCATGGTGGGAATTGTTGGGTTTCTGTAGTTAACTTCAGAGTAGGGTCTGACCTGCTCTGTTTGGAAAGCTGTGAGACAACTGTTGTTGTGATGTGGCGCTATATAAATAAAATTGAATTGAATTGAAATTGAATTGAGTTCTTCTACTCCTTTTGTCTTTCTTCTTCAACTCTTCAGTTTTATGTCTTTTTCATATAATCTTTGGCTTCTTCTTCCTCCATTCAGCACTTGGCATAGTTACTGATGTTATCGTGGCCGGTGGCCCACATTAATGTTGGCGTGTTATTATTAGCCATTAGCCACAGCTAGCAATTCAAAGCTAAAGTCATGTAAATGATCATAAACAACGTAAATGAATGAATAAATAAATCAGAGAGAAAGGGGTTATCGATACTTTTTTAAATGAGTATCGTATACGGATATAACGTTTTAGTATCAATACTTTTTGTTGTTGTGATGTGGCGCTATATAAATAAAATTGAATTGAATTAATTAGTTCAGGACATCATTAATGAGGTTAATTCTCCCGTTTCCTCTCTGTTGTGCAGCGGCCGCTGAGGCTTTGACCCCGGCCTCCAGCCCTTTGTCCGGGGTGTGTGACCCGGGGGACGCCCCCCCCCCCCTCAGCCTGGACTGTAGGGTGTGCTCGGACAAAGCCTCGGGCTTCCACTACGGCGTGCACGCCTGCGAGGGCTGCAAGGTGAGCCTCCACCGTAAACCGGAACCGGTCAGAGTCCAGAACACCGATTCTGTTAGAGAGAGATCCTCACCCCCAGAGAAGGTCTCACTCTGGAGATCTGAACCTTACTGTTAATTATCGGGGTTGTAACCCGGGTGTAAATTTGTAATGGATGGAGATCCAACTCAGGCCATTTTGATTAGGTCTCCAACAGGAATTTCCCAGGCAAGAAAATCCTAATTGCTTCATGGCAATATAAACATTCATTTAAAAATAGTGAAAGAGTCCAGAACACCGATTCTGTTAGAGAGAGATCCTCACCCCCCAGAGAAGGTCCCACTCTGGAGATTTGAACCTTACAGTCAATACTCGGGGTCGCCAAGGATGGATATCCAACTCAGGCCATTTTGATTAGGTCACCAACAGGAAGATCCCAGGCAAGAAAATCCTAATTGCTTCATGGCAACATAGACATTAATTTAAAAATAGTGACATTAATCTGGCAAACACTGAATTAAACTCTATCCATAATATTATGTTAAAATAGTGGATGTTAAATAGTTTTGTACAATAAGTCCAAAGAAGTTTAACCAAAAAATATTTATTTCTCACAATTATGAAGGCTGGAGGGTTAGGGTTAGGGTCAGGGTTGAGGTTAGAGTTAGAGTTAGGGTTAGGGTTAGGACATCGTTTTTCTTCCGATTTCATATAGACAGTAAAGTTTCGTTTCCACATCAGAAAGCTGCTAGTCACATGACCTAATCAAAATGGCCGACTTGGATGTGGGAGGAGTTGGACATCCATCCTGGGCTTCCTACAGGC